TTTCTATGTGAAAATGTAATTTCCATAATTGAGATGAAGCAATTTCAAGGAAAAGAAAGTGCCCAAAATGAAGTTCCAAGTAAACCATTCCAATGATTTTTTTTCCTTATTCATGATATATATTAACAGTTCACACATAATTTTTATTGTCCTACTTACTAAAATCTAATACTGCATGCTTTGGAAAAGTAATTTGTGCCCCATTATTTAAAATCCCACCACATTATAAATACGACCACAAAAACCACCTCTTATATACTAAGCAGACAAATGCTATTTAATCTTCATTTCAGGCTGCATATAGTAGGTTTAGGGGGCATGATTTAAATCTCACTAATTCTAGGTATGAAATATTTAGTAGTTTTATATGAATGAAAATTGTTCCATCTCTATAATCATGGAGAGGTGAAAAATACATAGTAACTATATTCTTTGAGTAAAAAAAGAAAACATTCATGTATTTGTTGAAAATATTTAAGGCAGTTGACAGCACCAATATTTTCATTATTATTTGGCATTTATAGATACACTGATAGTGATAGGGTCTGCTATTTAATATTTTAGATATATAAACACAATAATGATAGAAATCATTAGACATAAAAGATGACACTGCTACTCATAATTCTTAAATGATCTGTATTCAATCAATCACTCTCTTGAATACCAAACAGCTTCCCTTTAGAATATGAGTATCACAGTTACATTTTGGGAACTGTAAACAAAAGCCATGTATTTAAATATTATTCTAATACCAGAAGATGCCAAATATAGTATACTGACTTCCAATGTTCTCACTTCTTCATGCACCCCTTCTGATATCACCAGCATTGTCAACTAACAGTTTTCTGCCTTAGAAGCCAAAAGGGGACATTGCTGATAGTCAAGGTAATTCATGATTCTCCCTGAACATAACTGAAATACTGAAATGGCATTAGGGATGTAAAACTGTATTCCATCTTAGAATGTTATCACAAGATTCATCATCTCCTAATGTTTATTCATTAATTTTATATTTACACCTTGATACTTGTGTAGACGTTAAATAGTTTAGTAATCTGAGGCCTGATGCATACCAGCTGGGCCTGTCAAATGTAGCTTGCATAAAAATCAACATAAAATATAAAACTTAGTAGAACAATTCATGACCTAGATAATTTTTTTCTTCCTGAGGCTTTTCCCAAATGGAAGTATGGCTGTGAGTGTGTACAGACCTCAATACTTCCAGGGAATATTTATACAATCTCTAAATGAGAACATCAGATTATAAAAGAAACAAATGCTACCTCCAATTCCCAAACATCACTTGAAAATCAGTTGTTTAGAATTCAGGATCAGAGGTCCACCTTCAAAAGGCAATCTGCCTCACAACTACAGATAGAACTTTATGCATTTAAAATGCAAGTGGTATAAAAGCAATAAAATCAAACCAAAAACAGTAACAGTAAAGACTTCAGAAATTTAAATCTCTGAAGACATGTGGTGGTTCACCCTTCCCCAACCCCCTTTCTCTGTCAACACAAAGCAGAGTGATCCACTGTGATGTGGACCCCCCCACAGCCCACTCTGGCTCGGAGACTCCAGCCTGGACTATGCTCGACCTCACTGTCAGACTAACCAGAAGGACTACTCTTTTCCTCTATTCGTCTGACTGCAAGCTCCTCAGAAACATAATCATCGAGTACTTCAACCGAGCTTCACACATAGTTTGCCTGAATACATGAAAGACAAGTTTTAAATCCCCTTGAGGGATTTAAAACTATGTATTACATAACCCCTTCCGTCAAGAAGCTTTTAAACGAGTAGTGGGAAGACGAAAAGAGCATATGAGTAGTTCCGGTATCAGGCACAAAATGAAAACCAAGTGTAGTGAAGAACAGAGGTTCACCGGGAGGTTGACAATCTAACCGTCCTTCCATCTACTTATTCGTTCATTCAAAAATGTTTAGCGAACCCCTCCACCATGCATCAGGCGTGTTGTTGGTAAGGGACACAAACATAACCATGACTCCCACAGTCTACGCCCTCAAGTCGCTCAGAGTCACTGTCTGGGGACTGGGAAGAACTAGATGCTGGACCTCCAGAGATCCTTTAGCTCCCCTTAGTGCAGTTTCAAAATCTACCAAATGACCATGACTGCCTTATCTTCACTTGTTGTAATCAGATGTAAAGGGTTGATATATGTGAAATTCCTTGGAAATTACAACTGCTCTATGGTCACACAATATTGATGCATTGTAAATATTGCCACAGTTTAACTAAAATATGCCATGCATTCTCCATTTCTTCAGCATTTTGGCTCTGTGCACTAAGTGTGTAGGTGCTCAATAAAATACTAAATGAATGAAGAAAAACTAGCTTTTTTGACAGCATGATGTCATCATTAAAAAAACACAAGCAGTATGAAAGTTGGTCGTTTTAAAAGCAAACATAATTTTTAACGCAAATAATCATCCCATGATTCATTTGTTTAATAAATCTGAATTTTCAAACATGATCTTTCTCTAAACAGAATATACCATTACACAATTTCCCCCACAGTGTAGATCATTTCCACATGAGGCTGGTTTATCAGTGGTTAAAAAAGAAATAAAATAAATGTTTAGTGAGTACTTATACTGTAAAAAGCACTGTACAAGTTATTTACTCCAGCACAGTTTTGCTTGGTTCATTTTCTTTTACTAAACTGACACAAAATGAAATAATCTGGATAGGCCTGTCCCACTCATTTTCAACAAACTATTCTCCCAGAACTGATAGCTGTCACACTTTGTTCCTGGGTCTGCCATGGAAATGGAAACACTCCCTAAAAATCCTGTCCACAAAAATATCCTTCCTCAAAACTTTTTCAGTGGAGCAATTTGGAAGGAGAATAAGGCCTAGTTAAGGAAAACACAAATTTTTAAAAAATAATGAGGAGGGAGCAAGGAAAAAGAAACAAAATGCTTCAACTGACCACTACCTTAATCCATAATTACATAAATGAAATAAAGACATTTAGCTGGCTTTCTGTATTTCAAAGAAAATTGGGCAATGCCATTCACAAAAGATTCATGCTACACCTCGTTCCTACGCCCTCTGCAAGAGCTGCACTACAGAATCTCACTGAATATAAAGTGGACGTCTTGAGATACATTCTCGTGATAAACTCCCTGGGAAGAAGGAGTGACAGGGTCCCACCAGGCTGCAGCGGTGGAATGAAAGACCCCTGTTTGCACTTGCACTGCAAGCTGCCTGCATCCTTGTGCTGTGTGTGTCCTCACCACAAGCTTGGAAGCCCCAAGTCACACTCATTCAACCTCTTTTTGTTCCTGATCCCTGCCACCATCTGTAGCCCTCTGCAGGGTCACCAACCAGATCATCTCCGTCCAACCACAAGTTTCTCTTCAGGTATAACTGAGCATTGCTTCAGTTACACTCAGCTATTCTTCATAGTCATTTAACTCTTGAGTACATGTACGCAACAGTTTAAGGTATTATTTGATTAACTAATACAGAAAACAGATTTGAAAGATAAGGAATGACACATTCAAATATTTATAAAAATCTAAGAGTTAACTATCATTGTAACACTAAAAGAATATGCAAATTTTTTCATTTTCTAGGACCTATCCTCAGTTTCCTATCTCACAAATACCCTTTATTCTTACACTACATCATTATCCATCATTATATAGCAAGTTGAAATTTGCATCTGTATATGATGTGCCTAAAGCACAACTCAGTCATACTTTGGAAAGTGTCAAACATCTCAAATTGTTTTCAAATGTTTGAGGTTTGTAATAACTGAGATATGCCATTTCAAGCTTTGTTTTTAATATTAAATGTTATGGTTGTTTTGAAAAGAATACATCTCTCTGACATACTTATATTTCTCTCTCCCTCTCCCTTACCCCTCCCTCTCAATCCATACACACACTCACACATACTCACACACGTGTACTTTAAGTGGGTGCATGGAGCCCAATGAGGGGCTCAAATGCACGACCTTGAGATCAAGACCTGAGATGAGATCAAGAGTCGGATGTTTAACCAACTGAGCCACCCAGGCGCCCATACATGTACTTTAAACTCTAATTTGTGCCTTGATGCCAAAAGCTCTCTTCTGGAAATACTTATCTCTTTAGTATAAAAATTATGTCAGAAAATTACAGAAACTTTGAAAATGGGAGGAAAATCAGCTCCAAGCAGCATACTAGTATCACAGTTCTAACAGCATAACATTTTAACAGTGATCATTTTTAAACGACCGGCATTTTTAAGCTTTATAGCATTTTGTTACACTAAATAAATTTCCAGAAAAATAGCATGTATTTTTGTTTTTAACATGAAAGTTCTTCATATAGTTAAAATTATGTAACATAAATTTCTACTCTAAGAAGAATATTCATAGAAATAAGAAGTCCTATTTAGCCAAATACAGATTCATTTAAAATTAAAATTATGCTAAAATATTCAAATCCAATCAAATCCAATACATTAATACATATTCAACTTGGAGGGAAATTTATTTCACTTCACATCGCCTTCAAGCCCACAATTCTTTTTTTATAAATATAACACCATCTTAATTTAAGTTCGTGAGTGTGAACAAAACATCTAATGCAAAGTCAAGAGTTCTTTACCTACTGTGTCCATAGAAAAATTGTTTAAAGACTTCTTTTTGTAAAATGTAATAATATAAATATATTTTTGAAATATAAAGAACATTTGTGTAATCATTAATAACAATCATTAAATAAAATCAAGTCTAATACTGACTTCTGCACTTTTCAATATGGTCATATCTAAATAAATTTTCAAGAGTCCTTTGCAAGTTTTTTTGAGTCAAGGACCTTATTTATTTCCCCTCATTCTAACTTATTTTATCTTTTTAAACAGAATAAAACTTTTACAGAATTAAAATGCCAATTTTGTCTACTTTATATGTTACTTTCCAGCAGCTTTCTTGTCACTATAAACTAGAAAATAATCCGCACTCAATCTGAATAAGATCTTACCTTCTGGTTTGTTGTTTTTCCTCTTCAGCCATTTTTCTACAGTCTCTGCACTAACACTTTCAGATACAAATTCGTCTAACACCTGGGGATGAAGAGAAAGATATGCCTTCACTTTTTCATCTGTCAAACCTGTAAAAGAATTAGAAAGAATAAAATTAACCTAGATGACACCTTCATAAGCATCAAAAATATAGAAAAATGACACATTATGCTAAGATTGATTTAAGATAGAAAATGAATGTAAAGATATATACACATACAATGGAATATTATTCATTCATGAAGAAGACTTAAGTTCAGATACATGTTACAACATGGAGGAACCTTGAAAACAATACGGTAAGTTAAAAAAAACCAGACACTAGGGATGATTATTGTATGATTCCTCTTACATGAAATATCTAGAATAGGCAACTTCATAGAGACAGAGCAGATTAGGAGTTACAGTGAGCTGAGGGAGTGGAGCATGAGGAATTATGACTTAATAGGTAGAGAATTCTGTTTTGGGTGAAGGCCAAGTTTTAGAAGTGGACAGAGGTGATGGTTATAGTACATGTTGCGAGTATAATTACTGCCACTGAATTATAGACCTGAAGTGGTTAAAATGGCAAATTTTACGTTATGTATATTTTGCCACTATGAAAAAATAGTAAAAAAGACAAAGGTTAAAACTTTAGCAGTTTTAAACTATAGACATTGCATCACGTGACAGCTGTTTTCCAAGAGCAGATCCCAGCGTTGTCCTGGAGGCAATGGTGCACTTCAACGCTGTAGAGGTAAGCCCTACAAAGTACTTAGATCTTCCTGTAAATAGTTACCATAGCTTTAATTCGCAAGGTAAGTGAAACTCTAGCCAGAGAAGCAAACAGGAGAATACAGTGCTGGTTCATTTTAGGTGCTAAAACAATGTTTACTGAATAGATTCTTATCTTTCATTGTTTACAGCACAAATTCTCCTTTCTCTTAGAGGCACTGAATCCAGTGATAAAACTAGTATTCAGCTCAGAGTAATTGACATTTGTCCATTCGTATTCCATGTAAGTAATCAGTTTCACCAAAATAATTTTTCAGTCTAATAACAACTGTTAAATATACACAGTATACATAGTACTTCTACACATTTTCATGTTGAACATATAAAATCATGTATTTCGAAATAGGCACTTCATGTGGGTATGCCATTCATTAGACAACTCCAAATCACGAACAGGCTATCAATAATTATCACTCCGTGATGGCAATTATTTTTACTGTTGTATCCTCTTTGTGAATTATTCAGTAAATTACTACCATCCTTAGTGATAGTCAGGTAAAAAAGGAAGCAGAAAATTGTCCTTTCAGAGGCAGAAAAGAAGAAAAGGAAGCACATCTTTATGACTCCAGGGAACAGGCTGCATGTTCCCACCACCAGACCAGCCACACAATTAACACATGTTAATTAATTCTGCTGGGGACTAAAGTCACAACTGTTAGGATTCTTCAAGAGAATGGTTGAGAAGGCAAATAATATTTTTCAATGAATCCAGTACTTCCACAGTCAATTTAAACTATAGACAGACAGATACGGATATATAATTATATCATTGTATTAGATAAAAGAAAAATAAGACCCCTGTCTTTGCTCACATGGCAAAAGACCTCCAGTGATGTAAAATTCAATTTGAGAAATTCTACAAGGTGCTAAAGATAAAAGCCTGAATAAAGTAAGAGTTCTCCTGAGAGTAAATTACAGTCCCCAGATACAAAGGCACAGGATACTGAAGTGAACTAATAGCTGACTTGACCTTCAAGGAGACAGACAGTGTGAACTTCACATTCTCTGCAATCATGGCCTTCAGTCTTTCATAGCTGACATTTGATTCTCCTAAAACTTCATCACTTTTGTGACACAACTCTGTACTGTTCTTATCCTAACTTCTGGTTTGCTCTTTACCTCTCCTCTTCCGTAATCTATAACGGCGACAGCAAAATCTGAAGCAGGTATTGCAGTACCCTTTTCATCTCCAGTTCTCAGGTAGTCTTCCATCCTGCCTCAAAATTAAGTGCGTCATCTCCGTCCCACGTCCTCCCAAAGTGATTTCAACCCTCAGCTTTACTCTCTCTGCCACGGGTACTCTCCATTTTCCCAGAGACCCAGGCTGGAAATATAAAATCATAACTGACTCATCCCCCTTGTCATCTCATTTCATCTTAGTGCATGATTATACAAGTCCTATTTGCCATATTACATATCAGATTAAAGGACTTGTGTCTAAAATACACAAAGAACACTTAAAACTCCACAAGAAGACAACCCAACTAAAAATGAGTCAAAGATCTGAACACATTTCATCAAAGAAGATACAGATACGATAAATAAGCATACAAAAGGATGTTCATCTGTCATTAGTGAACTGAAGTTAAAACAAAAATGAGATTCCACTACATGCCTATTAGAATGGCTAAAATCCGAAAACTGACTGTCAATTTTGGCAAGGATATGGAGCACCAAAAATTCTCATTCGTTGCTAATAAGAATGCAAAATGGCAGTTACTTTGGAATTCTGTTTGGCAGTTTCTAGTAAAGCTAACTATAATCTTACGATATGACCTAGCAATCACACTACTAACTTTGACTCAACTGACTTGAAGACTTATGTCCACACAAAAACCTGCATGTCAATGTTCACAGCAGCTTTACTCATTACTATACAAAACTGAAAGTACCAAAAATGTCCTGCAATAGGCAAGTGAATACACAAGTTGTGGGATATCCATACAATTAAATATTATTTAGCAATAAAGAGAAATAAGTTAATGAAGGGCGCCTGGGTGGCTCAGTCTGTTAAGCATCTGCCTTTGGCTAAGGTCATGATCGACTCTCTCTTCCTTTACCCCCCCCCCCCATTGCTTGTGCGCACGCATGCTCTCTCTCTCTCTCTGATAAATAAATAAAAATCTTTTTTTAAAAAGAGAGAAATGAGCTAACAAGCCACGAAAAACATGGATTAGGCTTAAATGCATATTGCTAAGTGCAAAAAGCGAACATGAAAAGGCTGTATATTGTGTAATTGTAATTACAACATTTTGGAAAAGGCAAAACTACAGCGAGAGAGAGAGACAGAGAGAGAGAGAGAAAAGAGATCATTGGTTGCTAGATGTTCGAGGGGAAGGGATTAAGACTGAATGGGTGAAGCACAGCACATCTTTTATGGTGGTGAAACTATCCCATATGATACCATAATGGTGAATAAGTGACATTATGTATTTGTCAAAACCCACAGATGTTGTAAAATTTTAAGAAATCATTTAGAAAGTCAGGCTACCCCAGAATGGAAGGCAGGATATGGCACAAGAATCTAAATGTATGACAAATGTATAAAACAACCTTACTGAAGAGGTGGGGGATAAGGTGCTGACCTGAGTAACTTTAGAAATGAGTGGAATCTGGGGACCCTGGGTGGCTCAGTCGTTAATCGTCTGCCTTCGGCTCAGGTCATGATCTCAGGGTCCTGGGATCGAGCCCCACATTGGGCTCCCTGCTCAGTGGGAAGTTTGCTTCTCCCTCTCCCATTCCCCCTGCCTGTTTTCCCTCTCTCACTCTCTTTCAAATAAATAAATAAAATCTTAAAAAAAAAAAAAAAGAAAGAAATGAATGGAATCTGTAAGACTAAAAGCAAAAGAAACTCCATGGAATCACTGTACTGTAGCTGATAAAGTTATCTTACGGCAGGTAGAGTTTAACAATTCTCACACCACTATTCATTTATACTGAAACCGAACAATTAAATAAGTAGATGGTGGGAATGAGGCTTCTCGATGGTAGAGCAGGATGTTATAGATAAGCAGAAGGGGTCTAGAGGAATCTATAGCGTAACGGATTAGACTTTGACACGTCAGTATGAACTCATATTTAGCTTAATACAGGTACAGATGGTTAAACACTGAAATACTGGTAGATATACTCTGTATATACTCAGGTCAGCCATGCACATACATTTCCTTGCTCTGTTAGCTGAGAGGACCTACAAGCCACAATATTCCAGTACCAAGTATACGTAGCGCCCAGATCTTGGTTTCTAATACCACTCTCCAATAAAAGGAAACACAGCTACTTGGAGAAATGGCTGAGTCTAGGACAAGTACACAAAATATATAAGGTGAACTCGGAGCATCTTGTTTCCATAAAGTAAGGAAGTGGTAAGTGTGTGTATATATGAAACACACAAAATGAGCGGGTATGTCAAAAGTATATAAAAGTTGACTGAAAAGAGCTCCCAATGATTTGCACATGGAACCACTTGAGTAACAAAATAAAGCAGTATTGGATTATAATCCAAAGAATAAAATAATATCCATGCTACGCTACGGTCTGAAAGTTTGTGTCCTGCCCCTCCAAATTCAAATGTTAAAATCCTAATTCCCAAAAGTGATGGCATTAGTAGGTATGGCCTCTGGGAAATGCTTAAATCATGAGGGTGAAACCCTTACCAAGGGCTTTGGCTCCAGAGATCCCTAGACCCTTAACTGCCATGTGAGGATACAAAAAGTCCGTGACCTAAAAGAAGGCCCTCACCCAACCAAGCAAGTGCAATGACCTTAGATCTCCCACCCTCAGAACAGTGAGAAATAAATGTCTGTTGTTTATAAGCCACCCAGCCTGTCGTATTTTGTTATAGCAGCCTGAATGGACTAAGATAATCCAGGAGTCCACAATGATATAAATAAAGGACTGAATAAATAAACAGAGAAGAACAAATATTCCACTCAGAAGAATTCCAAATAATGTATGTAGATACTTTGCCCTCTAGAAGGCAGAGCATAACTCCCCACTCCTTGACACTTACTTTGCATAAATTACTCAAAACTAAATTTTTAAAGATCAATTGAGTCATAAATGAGTCATAACTCATTTATGTCTAAGTAAACTTCTAGACTAAAAAAATTAATTAAATCCTGGATTTCAGTATGTAGAAGGGAATGAAATGCCAAATACACCATTTTGGTTTTAAACTCCACTAGAATTCCAAAGAGTATCACATAGCTTTGTATCTCAAATGTGTCAAAAGATCTAAGTATAATTTTCTTCCCAAATTACCATTCATATTTCAAGAAAATCAGTACCTCCTTCAACAAGAGAATGGTAGGAG